AGTCGGCGTCGAGTGCGGGGATTTCGACTCCCGCACCATGCCTGCCTTCGCTTTCGCGGCGAAGAAGACATCAATGACCTCGCACTGTTCGCGCGGGAGAGGCCATTGCCTCGTCACACAATACTTTGTGCCGGGCACGAGATCAATCTCGTGCCGTACGCCTCGATCCGGTGGGAGTTGGGTCGGTGGGTGTATGTTCACCACGTCCGCATACTCCGTCACCAAAGGATACACCGGATCCTTGGGGTTCTTGAGAATTTCAGAGCCCAAGCGCGCCTGACGCTGGTTGTTAATGTCTTCCAGGACGTTCTCGTCCAAGACAGAGGAGGAGTTCAGCTCCTCCTGAGTGGTCTCAGGTCTCATGAGTACCATCTCAGCAATCTCTCCAGCCTTGAGGTTGGTCAGGAAAGACTCAGCCGTCATTTCCTCGAGGTACAGTATCTCTGCAACCTCTGGCAACGGTTCCAAGTGGACACCAGATGCCTTGACGGGTACACCGGTCTCGCCATCGAAGATGTGATAACACTCTTCCACCGGCCTTGTCGGAGGAGCCCGGGCCCTGGACTCCGAGTCGCTTGAAGCGACATCGATCGGAACGAAGTTCGGATCCGACTTGAGGCGGCGGCGGCGTCTTTGCCGACGGCGGCTGTGACGGGGAGCTTTGCTGCCCACGTTTAGGAATGTCGTCGCTACGACATCCGAGGCACTCGTGGCCTCGTGTGGTACTGTTGTACCCACACAGGAAGCGTGTTCAACGCCTTCCTCTTCAGTTAAGGTCTGGGCGACCGCGTGTGGCACTGTGTTACCCACACAGGAAGCGTATCCGACGTCTTCCTCTTCAGTTATGGTCTGGGCGACCGTGTGTGGCACTGTGTTACCCACACAGGAAGCGTATCCGACGTCTTCCTCTTCAGTTATGGTCTGGGCGACCGTGAGTGGAACTCTGTTACCCACTCTGAACACGCTGTTCTCAGTGTTCATGACAGCTGCAGCTGTCTGCGGAACTAAGTTACCCGCCTGTGGACCTAAGTTACCCACTTGGCCGGCGCCTCTTCTGGGCGCGGCCACCATCAAAACATCCTCGGAGTCGTCATATACGTCGACGACTCCCAAGCATCTGCCGGATGCTTTGGTACCTTGGCAGCCCTCGCGGGCGCCCCGGGTCCTGACAGAGGTGGGAACATGACTCACCAATGCTCTGTCGGACTGCGCAGGGCGGCTGGCACCGATTGCCTTGCCTCGCCAGTCGATCCAGGGCTCGTGCTTCTCAAGCCAGGGCATGCCCAGGATCATATCATATCATATGGATCCATATCGAGAACAGTGAACTGTTCGAGGCTGTCAAAGTCTTCAAACTTGACAGCCAGATCCACTTGGACGTTGGGGACAGTGACGACCTTCCCGTCGGCCAGTCGCACTGACACCGTCCCGTTGCCCTTGCTTTCTCTCAAAGCTTCGGACAACTTTTTGCTGTTACGAGCAGCCGTCTGGCGGCGTGCGAAATTCTTCGACGCCCCAGAGTCGATCAAGATTCTAAAAGGATGATCGTATCCCCGTACACATCCGTGTACTACGAGCGACCCGCCGCTGCTCTTCGCCGATTCGAGAGTGCGAAGACTCTCAGGGGCTAAGTCCCCGTGGTACGCGCCACCCGCGCACCCATCACGAAGACTTAGTTCTTCCCCAGTAGGGCGCCCCGCCCCTACTGGTTCCCGGCGTTCCCCTGTCCCCGGGATCCTGGCTTCTGCCAGCGACCCTTGAGGACGGGTTTGGGGAAGGACCGTCTGCGGAGTCTTTCCGCGGGACAGTCGCGCTTGAAGTGGACCATCTTCCCACAGCCGAAGTAGCGGGTATCACGCTGTTCGGCGGACCCGAGTTCCATGGGAACTGGTCCGTTGGGGCTTGTTCGACCGGGAGCCGACAAGGAACTCCCAGGCCACGCTGAGGCCGGCGTACGCGCCTGGCGATGGCTGTATTCTTCTTGAAGAGCCACTTGAATCGCCTCTTCAAGGGTGCTTGCCTGCACCCGGAACAGCTGAGTGCGTGCGGGGCCCATTCGAAGGCCGTCAATGAACACAGTCATCTTGATGTGTTCGTTGAGTGAATTTCCCACTAGGGACGCCGTGAGCTCCCGTATCTCTTGCACATACTCGTGCAGTTCGCGCCTTCCTTGTTTACACGCGAGGAAGCGCGAGCGCTGGCGGTACTCGTAGTTCGCCGGGAGGAACGCGGCTCGGAGCCGTTCGCACAGCTGAGACCAGGATGAGAAACATCCAGGGGATGTTGCTTCCCGTGTGTACACCCAACTCTTAGCACGGCCGCTAAGGTTGGAGAGTGCAAAAGCAGCACGCAGTTGCTCGGTCGAGATCAGAGCCGCGTCCATCGCGAGCTCTACTTCTCGGACCCAGAAGTGAAGGTTCTCGCCTTCTTTCCCTTCATACGGCTTAACCTTCAGCCGTATTGGCTTCGGGTGAGGCGGATTTTCTTCCGCCACCGGAGCCTGCAGGTTCTCCCGCACATGCGCGATGAGGCCCTGCTCGTACGCGTCGAATGCATTGACGCGCTCGAGCTGCTCAGCCGGTGTTGATACCACCAGGCTCTGCAGGGCCTCCATTCCGAAGATGCCTGCCATCTTCTGAACCGACTCGAACTGAGAGCCGTTCATATGGGAGAAGTCGTTCCTATCCATGGCAACGAGCTTCGGAGAGGTTCAGGTAGTCTACCCGCGGTGGCGTGGATTGACTACAAGTGCTACCAAGTGTGACGGGGTCACACAGCACCTTGCGCTAGAGGAAGTTATCTCCCGAGAGTATACAAACTCTCAGTGAACGGCAGTTCACAGGTCCCCTCTTTAATTAGAGAGAGCGAAGTGACCTAAATAAGGTAGATTGTAAACTGAGTATATTTATAGGTAGGTTAAGTTTGGGTTTAATACAAACTATATGTTACCTATAGAAATGCAATGTCGTTTGACCAATGGTTGGCTTTGAACGACCTTGGTACCTTGTACCAAGTATCCCGGAGTATGGTGTGAAGTGTCACTCTTCATGTAATCAGGGTACACTTAGGGCTACGTACCCCGTTACAGGCAAGCTCACGATTGATGAACTATAAAAGTGAATGAGGAGTAAAGAGACGGTCAAGGATCTAAGGACAGCGTTAGACGAATCCTTTTACTCTTTGCAAGGTGATCTAAGACAGTTACCTTCTTGTGCATGGGCTCCGATGTCAACTTGTACTGCTGTACATGTCTGGTGACACCGCGGGAGCTTGGTCTTCCTTGTGAGCGCCTATGTACGAGAAGCTGTATCAAATATACCGGTATACCGGGATTTTGGGTTGTATTTCTCTACATGTGGTGTTGAGCTCGGTCTGGGATTGGTGGATTCTGGCTTGTATCCCTCAAGGCTCTACATACGAAATGTGGGGGAATGACGACCATTGTCGTTTTCTTGTTGACTGAGACCTCGTTGCCGGGCTCCGAACCTTCCTCGACAGACTAGCAAGCTACAGGAAGTATCTCCGAGTACTCAATTTCAGCGGTTGTCGTTTTTCGTGCATTAATGTCCGTGTTTATCAGTGGCTGTCAGCAAAAGCCTTCCACGGTTGAATTGGCATGAAAAAAAAAGAGTCATTTCTTAGTCTTCCCGCTCTCCGCTACCAATCCCTTCCTACACGTGTCGCTCTCAGAGCCACACGCCAGGTCCAGCTCGTCCTCACTGCACAGATCATAGCACAGTGTCACACCACCTAGTACCGTCCGATTCGGACTCCGAAGGTCTGCAGTGGTACTTCCCCGACGCATCTTCACAGGTCCGTGAAACCCATGCCTATGTCTCCTTTTAACAGCTAGTGCGTCGAAAAGCAAACTCGATGGTCCATCGGCGATGGAGCTGCACAACAAGAACATATCGATATTTAGAAAAGTGGACTTTATTCGGGAGGGTGTTCTATTCGGGCGGATTCGCTATTTACGTCTCCAATTTCAATTTTTCATCCTACAGCCACCAAGATGGCTACATTTAAAATTTCTCTTCCAATCAGAGATCGGCATTTGCGCAAAGTGAGACTTACGCAACGTATCGTGGCTCCGTCGACGAAAAGGCCTCGCGAGTAACCCTGACTCTCAATTCGTATCTATTATCGGTGGCGACAATGGAGAATCCGCCGCACAGCGGAGATTTCACCGATTCGGTGCGTGTGTGTCATCACTTCCAGCACTTTCAACAGCACAACAACTTCAGGTTGAGAGCGACCTTTTGACTAACGGCTTGCTTTTACTCTCTTAGCGGTCCAAGCAGTGGGCCAGTAGCTCACCATACGTTACCAAAGCCACGTCCGTATCAAAATCGCCACCAGTGCCAAAGCTGTCGATCTTCCCGGCCTTCACGCTGGATCTGATTCGACTGGCGGAACTCCAGGGCTCGTCACCTTGTTCGCCGCCCGTTTCGCCCACAAGAGGAGAAGCACGGGAGCTTTTTGCCGCAATCGATAAAAAAAAGACTTTCTTCGAGTTGTTGGAGACACGAGGACTTACTTTGGAGCCTACTGGCGAAAGCTCCGATGCTGTGGACATTATCAACGACAGAGTTGACGCCGTGCACTGCGTTGACGGGAGGAGGATAACGCTACTGCATCAAGCGTGCAGATGCGGAAACGTACAGGTGGCAAAGTGTTTGCTGTTTCACGAAGCGGATGCGTCAGCGAGGTGTCGAGATGGTCGTACGCCATTCCACGAGGCCGTTTCTTCGGGTACGGGGGCGACGGCGCTGGAGCTGCTGAAATTACTTTTTGAACACGATCCAGCGGGGATTTCGATTGTTGATGCAAATGGGTCGCACGTGCTGCATCTCGCGGCGATTCACGGTAATCTTGACGTGATTAAGTGGTGTGCCGAATTGGTGTCTCCGCCTTCTGGAAAGGAGTCGGTGACGAATGCGAAAAGTGAAATTTCTAGATATTTGCTGCACCTAGGAACTACCTCGTTAAGTGGACGCAATATGCTGCATTACGCTGCATACAATGGCCGCTTGGATGTGATCAAATGGCTGCTTAGGGAAGATAAGCCGCGTCGTGGTGAGCTTGCATTGACAGCGCTAGATGTGACTGGATACTCTGTTCTGCACTACGCCGCGATGGCTGCACCACTGGAAGTCTGCGAATGGTTAGTACTAGAAGCTCCAGGCCGCCATCAACTGACTCTCACAGCACGTACAAAGGAGGGGAAGACAGCGTTGGAACTCGCATCAACGCGTCCGGCTTCCATTCGACATTTCCTGGCTGAAATCTCTCAAGTGCCTCGCGTGCCATCAAATTTGCGTTGTATAGGTGCTGACACAACGTCGCTGGGGGTCAGCTGGAGTGTGGAGCCAGCTAGCAACGATACCAGACTAGGGGAGGAATTGAAGCCGATGTATTTCCATTTGGAGGTGTGCAAGAAGCCTGTCAGTCTGTCTCGAGCCAGTGGGTTTCTCACGATGCTCATGCTCATGCCCTCGACATCACCAGGCAGTCCGCGAGCTCCAAGCGCGGTATCATCTGCGCTTCTGTCGGCATCCTCTTTGCTGCATTGGGAGCCATTGGGCGTGTTATTGCAGCCAGAGGCACGTGAGCACTGGTTGTGCTGCCTAGAAAGGGATACAGAGTATCTGGTACGCATGCGTGCACGCAATCGCAACGGCTTTAGCGGCTACACGGTACCAAATCTCTCGGGCGTTTTCACGACTGGTGACGGTGGTCGGCGACGAAGTCTCTCGAGTCTCCAGCGGTTCTTTGGAGCCATCAACGAGGATCGTCCAGCTGAGTCCATTGCTTTATCATTTATTGGAGACTTGCACTTTGAGCTGCTGGAGGCTCGAGGTCTGCCGCGTTCTTCTCCCGTGGCAATACCGACAAGCTCAAATCTCACCAACAAGGCACCCCAGGAGCGCTATTACGCTGTGGTTACGGTCGAAACACCTTCAACGCCTGATGTTGCATGCAGCGAAAGCTCCTGTAGCAGTACCAGATTCATTTACTGTGGGCGGTCGCAGCTTGCGACGCTGCAACACGACTTGGTTGTTACAGGGAGCCCACAGGTATGGCGTCATCCTCGATTTTCCCTCAAAAGCGTATTTCGAGCACCCGAAGCGCTGGCACTAACACAAGTGACAATAGCAGTCCACCACGAAAGCCAGGACCAAAGGGAGTCGTGCTGTGTGGGTAAACTCTCGCTCTCTTTGCTGAGTCTGGTGCAAGGGATGCCAGCCAAAATGCAGTGGCTACCGCTGGTTAACGTGATTAGTCCGGAGACGAATGGGGGCTTGGTTCTCGTTCGCACATTGTTTCTGCCGAATGGGGTGTCTGCACTACCGCATGCAACTCTACCAAACACTTGGCCAGCAACAGCAGAGGAGCTGCTGAGTGCATCAGGGCAAGACGATGACAGCGGGTCACCTCCTGGGTCCTCATCCTCGACAGCGTCTACGTCATCGTCGTCTTCGTCTTCGTCCCAGTTTTCACATCCTTCAATGCTCGTTGACAGTTTGGGCTTTGGGGTGTTTGACCCAGAGATGAAACTGTGGAATGGCGAGTGGCAACGAAGCAAGTCTGTGTCGGGTGTAACGAGGTCTTATGCGTACTACAAACTTCTCATAGAAGGCATCGAGCAACAGCAAGAAAAGCGGTGGCGCTGTCTCCGATGCAGCCTCCACACTTCAAACACATTGGAGACGTGCAATCTCACGGGAATTCGAGGAGCACTGAGTAGGTCCCACAATGTTCCCATAGTGGCGAATGACTTCGGATTGTGCGTCTTTGATGCAACTCGAAAGCGCGCAGTTGGAGAGCTGGCGTGGCAAGGTATTCCAATGTCGCGACGCCCCGAAGCGTATACACAAATGAGTGGAGCGCTGATCACGAAGACTCACTACCCGGGGAACTATTTCCTCAGCCTGATAAAGCGTCTCGAAGACCCGACAGATGAAGTTCATTCTGGTGCCATTGCCTCGCGTTTTTCGGTAGCTAAGAAGCAGATCCAAGCGGACTTGAAGCGTACATTTGCAGGCAACGACAAATGTTGGCTCACATCTCCAATGGGGCAACAATCTCTAGAGCGTGTGCTGCTGGCCTATGCCTTGCACAACGAATCTCTTGGTTACTGCCAGTCCATGACTTTCGTCGTAGGGCGATTGCTGTGCCTCTACCACTCTCAACGACCAAAATCATCCGATGACCCCTTCCAAGTCGAGGAGCGAGTATTCTGGCTCCTCCACGTGATCTGCGAAGACCTTTTCCCGTCGTATTACACACAAGGAATGACGGGGCTACACGTGGACGGTGGTGTGCTCGAGAAGCTCATACGGATGCGGCTTCCGAAGTTGCATCGGCATTTCCAGCGGCTCCACCTCCCGCCAATGGGTCTTGTACTCGTGACGCAATGGCTGCTACCTCTTTGCTGTGCTGCTTTCCCAAGCGAGACCACCTTCCGGTTCCTGGACGTTCTCTTCCTTGAAGGATCTTCAGTCGTCTTCGCGATGGCCATAGCTCTACTTCGCATTTCGCAGCATGAATTGCTAGCTCAGAACGTGGATTGCAGTCAGCTTTTTCGCTTCATTCGAGCTCGCGACCAGCGTCTTCACGACGCTCCGTTGCTGCTGGAAGTGGCGTACCAAGAACATCAAGTGCTAAGCCCACAAATTGGTTCTCTGCGACAGAATGTTGCTCAAGAGCTTGGCATCTATAAAGGCGAAAATGTACAAGTAGCCAAGCCGATGAAGTTGTCGAGTCTCCCGGTCGATGAGCTGCGACCAGGAGACGTGGAAATTCACATCTAACACCCAAAAGCTTTTTCAAGAAAAAAAAACGTATTTTACTTACAGCCGCCGCCTCAGGTATTTTTCTCTTCCAGTGAAGCTGTGGTAGCGGCCTGGATAGCTGCCTTGACTGTGGTCTCTCGCTCGTCGCCACTGCCACTGCTGCTCTCTCCGTCGCTAGAGATGTTTGCGTCACTTGTGGCGTCGCTGCCGTCATCGCTTGGTGTTCTGGTGGTTGCAGCCGCTGCCTTGGCTTTCTTGTCCTTCTCTCTCTCCACTCTGCGCTCTCTCTTCTGCTCCCTCACGAGGTCAATTGTCCGCAGGAGAATGGTCATAATGTGGACAGTCTCCTGCGGGTTGGAGATCCAGATGGTTGTGGCGGCATCTCGTGATCGAGTGTCGTTGCCTGTTCTCGTGAAGCGATCGCCTACATGGAGACACTCTTGGCCCTGGATGTTACGCAGCTCTTCACTGTCGCGAACTTCCTCGGGTAAGAAGCGAAACACGTACTTCTGCAAGGCCTGGATGCCCAGCGCCTTGTGTCCAATGTCCACCCACACGTCGTTACCACCGTTAAAGGCACAGAACGGGACGCTGAAGTGCCGCAACTCGTGCTGCAGCGTGAGACTGATCTCCTCCAGGTTCTCGTACAGAATCCGCTTCTCCGACGTGTTGATGATGCCGATCGCGCGCTCTTTCCGCAGGATTCTAGCTGACAAATGCAGTTCCTTAACTGTTCTCGTAAGTACAACTTCCGCTGCGTCCAGTAGCGCTGTCACTTTGTCCTCTGGCCAGCGTTCTCCGCGTCCGTCCTTCCAGACTGCTCCATCGATCTCACGCAGTCCCACAGCGCCTGTCGTCTTGTCGGTGTGAGTCTCGAATAGATAATTGCACTCGCCACCCATAACCAGAAACCGCGCTCGCTCTTGCATGGTCACGTCTTCAAGCGCATCCAAAATACCTCGCAAGCGCTCTTCGTACCGGCCAGGATTGCCTGGATATCCGGCCGCTGTGACGAGGGACACGACGATGCCTCGACGTAGCAACTCCACGATGACCTGCACCATCCTCGAGCTTTTGCTGATAGTGCCACCGTCTTCGTAGATGGTGTCATCGGCGTCGAAAGTCACGAGTTTTAGCTTCCCAGCGATAGCGTTGGTAGTCGCCAGGTTGAGGATGTGACGCACCTCCTTGAAGGTGGGCGGCACTCGCTTGCGCGCCAGGAAGTGCGTGCTGGCGTCGTACTCGAGCGCGGCCCGTGTGAGGTCCAATGGAAGGAAAATCTTCTTGAGGTGGGGCAAAAACTTCTTGAGGCGGCTACGCTCGGGATTCTTTGCATGCTCGGACATGAGCTCGCTCATGTAGCTGAAGACCTCCAGAACCGACACGCGCAGCTCTTGTTGGTCGCCCACAGGCGACATGATCCACTCCCGCAGGAGCTCGATCATCGGGTCCTGCTCCTTTAGCATTCTTTGTCGTCGCTCTTCTAGACTGGACTCGGTGAGAATTACGGCGAGACTTGCAGTGCGCTGTAAGCGGCGAGTTGACGAATGAGATCGATTTGCTGAATGTAAATTCTGATGTATAGGTCACTCCTGTGAAAAGACTCAAAAAGCGACACTGTGTATAAAAGAGGGTGGGACAAGCTCAACGTTCACTTATTAATAAGCGCGTCACTTTCATAGCAGTTACACCATTGTAGCCATGTTGTTGATGGCCCCGTTCACTGACGTGAGGCCATCAACACGTACGCGTCCGGCAAGATTTTTTTTTCAGCTGCAGCACCGCAGTGGCCTTCGCTTGGCATCAGGATTCTGCGCTGTTTGCTCTGCTTGGTGCGTATACCTTCTTCGCGATTTGTCTGTTCAGTCGCCATCACGACGACCCAACAAAAAGTCCGGCAGCAGATACTCCATGCAATGCGGTGGATTTTCACCGCCACAAACAACAAAGACGCACAGGACTCGCAACTGGCGACAAACAGCGATGCAAATTAGTTTAGTGTAGAGCTATTTTGAGCTTATGATGGTGTCCACCTGCCACATCGGACGTGAAGCGACGCGAGTGTCTGAGAGGTAGACGCACGACCTCAGGCAGCATGGCCTTCAAGTTGACGCCCACCGAGAGCCTTCGCGCCTGCGGTGTGCTGGAAGAGTCCCTGGAGAAGATGAGCTTCTTGGGCAGCATCACACCCGACATTCTGCAGCACCGCGAGGAGCTGTCGCAGGTTGTGGGCGAGGAAATCTCCCGCATCATCCAAGAGCAGCGCCAGCTCGAGAATAAGTACGAGAAGCTCATCGCCCAGCGAGCAGTACTTAAAGGACTGGCCAATAAATCCAAGTTTAAGGAGAACCAGAGAGAGATCCAGGAGGTCAGTCGGCTGCTGCGAGAGTCCACCAAGAGCTTGTGTCGTAACCTCAAAGAGAACCCCAATTTTGCAGGGAACCTCCTCAAGATTCAGCAGGAACGCGAAGGTATCTTGGAGCTGCTTGGACATACGTTGACGGAGATGAAGAAACACGGGACGTTTGAGACGCTGCTCACGTTCGTGGCGGACGGTAAAAGCACACAGGAAAAAGCACACGACATCCTCGAAAAGGAACGTGACGCGGTCGAAGAAGTGAAAAGACTGGGGGCAGAACTTGCCCGAGAGAAACTGGAGCACCAGAAGGAGGTGACGGAGCACAAGGCAGCCATACTTCGATTGAAAGAGCAGATACTCGCAGTCAAGTCCAAGACGCAAATCGATATCCGATATGCGCGAAACGAAGCCAAGGCGAAGCGAAGCAGTACGGCGCGGATGTACCACCAGCTAATGGAAGAGCAACACGACCGCATCAAAGATCTGCAGGGTAAGTGTGCGATAGAGACCAAGGTACATGACGAGACTGTGCATTTCCTCAAAGACCGTCACGAACAACTCCAGACAGAGCTGGCTGAGTGGAATGCCAAGTACCAGCAAGACACTCAAGCGAAGCAAGCGCAATTACAGGAGTTGCAGGAAAGCAAGGCTGCCAATGCCAAGAGACTTGAGAACTTTCAGAAACGATGGCAAGAGGAGATGACAACAATTAAACAAAAAGAAGATGAGCGCCAGAGGTTAATAGAGCTTGAAGTATTGCGCAAGGAAGAGCTGAAGGCGCAGAATACTGCTGCGAGGATCATCCAGGCTGCGTATCGCACACACATGGCCAAGAAGGAGAATAAACGTAAGGCTGCTGAGTTTGAGAAGAAAGCAGGAAAGAAAGGAGGCAAGAAGAAGGGAAAGAAATAAAAGAAGAAAACATCGGATACTGCTGTTGTTTTTAAGGACCTTTTTGCGGAGTTTTCTTAAAATATTAGGTAAAATATCCTAGTAGTACTTCTGACAAGTCAACGTAGTACCAGGTGAATTGTTTGTTTACACTAGGAATGTATCCATGACGTGGTGCACGACATCAATGCCCGAATCTAAGGGTTTGTTGAGGTCGGCTCGCTTGGCAATAATGTGCTCGTGCGACATTATTCCTCCGAAAAGGACGTCAATGCGACGCCAGCCGACACTCTGCACAGACAGCAGCATACCTCGCAGTTCATCTTGTTCTACATCTGCTGTAAAGGCGTACGGGAGTTGGTCCAAGATAACGTCGCCTTCGACGAAAGGGTCTGGACGTGACACGCCTGAATGGTGGGAAGAGAGACTGCCCTCGGTTCTCCCACGATGGCGACTGTGGAAGAGATGTCTGTGTCGACCGTTGTCCTTCAAAGACTTCCGTCCAGGGTCTGAAGCATGACGGCGAGTGCTTCCGATGCTGGTCATGTGGGCACTGGAGCTACTGATGTCACTGCCTTCGCCATTTTGGCCACTGCGTAGCTGCTCGTCCTCGTTCAAAGCCTCGGACAGGGCAGCGTGCTTGGGCGTCATATACTTCATGGCGAGACGCTTGACCTGGAGAGGAATAGTGTCTCGTAACTTGCGTGCGCTTTGCAGAGAGTCGAGCACAATGTGGGTGTAGATAGGAGACATCAAAAGCTCCTTCGCGCGCGAGCGATACGGATTAAACGCACGAACTGCTGCACAGGTGTACGGAACTTGCATGTCGAAAAAGATGCTCGAATACAAAGTGCGTGCTTTGAACATCTGCAACGCCTGCATGAACTGGCCTCGCGTCAAGCAGCTGAGCAGGGGTGGAGCGACAGTCTCTTGGGGTTTTGCTTGCTTAATGCTTGCTATCGAAGTCACACAGCGCACACCGAAGCTAGCGTTACTGAGCGCCACGAGCCATCTCCAGTCGCGATGAATATCTTCCTCTGGGATACGAAGCACACAACCATTCGTGCTGGTAGTGCCAGAATCTGAAGCCTCAGCGGACCACTGAATCTGGATATCGAAGTTGCCGAAGACGTCGGGTCTCTCTTCGTCATCATTCTGCCCCCATCCAATAAAACTGGAGAAGTAGTTCGCGTCGTCGCCGATGCTTTTCCCACTAGGCAGCAGGACCTTGACGTCGGAGCAGGATAGATCAATCTCGAACTTCAACTTGGACTGGGCTTCATCGTCTCTGTCCTCGAATACACGGAGCCTTCGATCGCTGAGGGTGCAACCGTATAGCTCAAATGCTTCCTGGCCGTCGTTTTGCCGCTTCTCCGATACCGTAAGACTGATCAGCAAGGATCCCTTCATCGCAGAGCAAGCTACAAGAAATGAGCGAATGTCAGCAGCAATTCTCACAAATTCGAAGAAAGAAACAATCAGCTGTACCTGGATGAAAGTCCTTGTCTAGGTTTGCAGTGGAAGATTTGCTCAGTTCCAACGTCTCCTCACTCGCCTCATCACTCAGAGTCAGCTGTGCTCCTGTTCTGCTAAAGATCTTGGGCATTAACGCATTGAACACAACGTTGGTCGCGCCACGACGAGGACGACGGATGCCGAGGTGCGGTGTCGCCAACGTCACGAAATTCTGCAGCAGCCTCACAGTTAGTCATATGCACAGTGAAAGCTCTACACTGTCTGCACCCACCATCGGCTCGACCTTGTCGAAGAAACCGCGACTGAGCAGCAGCCCGATGCAGTAGCGGTTGTAGAGCCCTCCCAGCGAGTGGCCGATCATCGAAAGCTTCTGCAGTTTGGACATCTTGTCCGCCAGCTGCTGGATCTCATCGGCAAGGCGATGGGCACCCTGGTCCACACCATCGTACGTCTGGAAGAAGCTGGTGGCATTGCTTTCGCCCGAGTGCAAAAACAGCTCATCGTTCTGGAATTGCGTCCGGAAGATCTCCACAAAGCGAGAGAAGTCGTGTTTGCTGCCTAGAAGTCCGTGCTGAAAAATCACCAAGTGTGTGGCACGCTGGAGTTGTGCAGTCTCGGCGTCGTTGCGGCGCGGAGAGCGCATTCTTTGTTGGCCCACGGAGGATTGAGGAATGACGCATTCGTCAAGTTTTGCTGAGTTTGATTATGCGACTGGTGGATCATTTCTCAGCGTGAACTTTGACGTTTGGTTGGATAAAAACCTGAGAATCCAGCCAAATTGGCAAGAGTGTTGATGCCAGACAGCTTCTTGTGCTTACGAGTCAGTGGTAAACATGGCTGTGCTGTGAATCACAGACCGTGATGAAGGTGACACTTTGTTGCGCAGCTACAAGCTCCCGTTGGACACTTTTTTTTGTTGCTACATATTTTCTTATATTGAATCAGAAACCTTCTTGGCATCTAACGTAAGGTCAGCGGGTCTGTTTCGTTTTCTATTACTGCTGAGACTTTGTAGGCGCCGTACTGACGACCGCCGCACCCCCGGTGGTATCGGGCGACGCCTTACCGAGCATCTCAGCTACAGCTGCAGCAGGTGGCTTTGTCTCTGTGATTCGGGGCTTGAGTCCAATACGTCGGCGGAAGTTGTTGTTGTTCATCGCGATGGTCTGAGCCATGGACGAGCACGAGGCCCCCAGCCAATAGAAGAAAACACCCTGAGGCAGATTGACTAGGACTGGGACAGCAAAGATCGTGATATATTGGCCTCCCTGAAGCAATGTTGTCCAGAACCCACTTTTGTTTCGCACAGAGAGCTCCAAGTTGCCGTAAGTTGACGTCGCAGCGAGAATCGGCAGTACATAGGTGCTGTCCGTCTCCATGAGGTTCTTCCAAAACAGTAGACCACCAGAGTCGAATCCTGCAAAGTTCCCAGAGCGTACCATGTCACGAGCACTGTATGCCATAAGGACGAAGATGGGAATGTACGCAACAGACCCCATGATGGTCTGAATGGGCCGCGTGTTGTACTTCTTCATCACTGCCTTGAGGCCTTGACGTCCTAGCAAGATAGCGTCGAGGTGCCCCTTGTGGTCGGAGCCAGGCTGCATCACAAAACAAAGAGACGTCAGTGTGATGCCTTCAAGCAAGAGCTGCAGTAAAACATCTAGACACATGCTCCTTACGGTAAATGTACGCGCGTACTTGTACGCCGAGTGCAGCTTACTGAAGTCCGGTCTCGCCTGTATCAGTCTGCACACCCCAATCGACACAAAGATCATTAAAACTCCCTGTATTAAATAACGCCACACCAAATAGATGCTGCACCTCTGCATGGCCTGGATCTGGAGCACGTAAAATGGAAAAATGACAGCTCGCACCGTCACACCCGAAAGCTGCAAGCGCCACCAGACCAATTCAAAACATCAGTATTAAAATGATCTTCCGCATCAAACGCATCCGTTTTTCGTACCAACAGCGTGGCCCACCAGGGCAGCCCCGTGGTCGTGTGCACCGTCTCTAGTACCGACTGCACACCCTGAACAATAGCCCACGGCTCGTTGCCCGTGCCGCTAGTCACCGCCGCCGCAACGTCTACAATGCCCAACTCGATCAGTTTACTACCTCATATCAGTTGCGCGATATTTCTAGGACGCACCTGTGAGCTGTCCGTCGGTCATTGTCAACTCCAGTGTCGGCGGGGCAGATTCGGAGGTGGAAAAGCGCCGATTGTCTAGTGAATAGGGCGCGGCGAAAACAGGAACGGCCGCCTGCACAGTACGAAAATGGAGCAGCTTTTGGCCTCCAGAAATGGGAGCACGGCGTAGCCCCAGGGATCCGCAACGGAGCGCCCCAAGCGCCCGCAACTGGCGGTTCATGTTGTCGGCAGGAAGTGCTTCGCTGTGTGGTACAGTACCGAAAAATGTATCAGTAAAAAAACAGTACAGTCGTGCACCTCCAATTCGACACCGGTATCAGTCGATACCCTGCCAGATTTTATGATTACGCGAATCGGATGCGCAATTACCTTTGCTTATCACCACCCTAGCAATTAACCTCAACGGTTTTCCCCTCCTCGCCGAGGGATGACACGCCGCATCGGTCTGATTTTAAATTTTGGATCGGACGTCTTCTTACAAACACACACTTTGATTTTTACCGCCAAAGACAATGGGACATCGCCCTTTCTCCTACATGTCCCACAAAAGCAGTCTTTGTGCGAGAAGCACAAGTCAAATCCTGCATGCTCTCACTCCGAACTTGCTCGTTGGGCAACGAAGCGCTTTAAGACCCCCCCAAGCAGTAAAGCGGACTACCGTCCAGAGTATTCTTAAGCGGTCTGTGAGCTATAAAACTTACCTGCGTGTCGAGCGCCAGTGCATTGCAGTCTGCCAGTGTCCGGTGCCCCCATCTACGAGCCACCGTCCACTGCCAGTGTCTGCAAAGACACATCCCAAGGACACTCATGCGCCTGGCAGTGCAGCTTGCGGCTTACTACAACCGGCTACACTGAGTACACATGCGTGCAATGGCGAAGGACTATACCAAAAACTGTATGCACAAGGACATCGTTGGCTGTGCGCTGCCAAGATGGTGTACTCAAACAAGAGTGCATTTATCTAGAGTTTAGTATTGACTTATTTGCGATTTGTATACTAATCTACTTTTGCGGTACAGCGGTGTTCTGGCGGAGGCTGCTCCACACTTTGCGTTTTGACGCCTGCCGCTCACCAGAGAGCAGCAGAGAAGAGCAGCCTCGCCAGACACCGCAGTCCTGTCGCGGCCTTTTGCCCGGCACTTACGTGTTTACGTTACTTCCTGATTAGTTTCCTAAAGTTGACATTTAAGTGTATTTACATTTAAATGGCTCCTACTCTTAGAAGCGATCGACACATGGAGAACATTCCCCCCGTGACGAACCCTACGTCACCACTGGTTATGAGCCCAATCAGGGCGCAGTCTGCGACTGACGTGGCTGCTGGCGTTCCAGACACAAGTTCTAGAATTTCGACCAATCAAGATCAAGCTTCAACCCCATTGGCAGGAAATTCAAGCTTGAACAATGACGCAACACTGTCGCACAGTGATGCAGAACGACTAATTCGTTCATTGGCTGGTATCCAAGGTGGCCGCGGGTTCTTCCAAATGTAACTCGACAGTATGCGAAAACTTTCTCGAAAAGACGGAAAATCCGTGCCAGATGACAACCTCCCCAGTCGCCGCTAAATCCATCTAATCGGGCACGAAGACACCGACAATCCCTGGCGCCCTCTAGACAACATGAACCCTTCTGGCCGCTACAACGACGGCGAGCTGGCTGAGTACACCAAGGTTCTCATCAACTCGCCTCCGATCAAGCTGCCCAAGCTCCATCTGAAGGGCGACTACAAAGCCTGGAAGAGCGAGGTGCCGTTGCACTTCGAGCCGAAGATGCTGGGAGACATCACCTATGGCCCTGAGCGCTACGATGCAGTAGAAGGCATGCGTCGTGACAAATATCGCGTGTGGTACAAGTCGCGCAAGAACAAGGCGTTCTCAGCACTTGCGTTGTCGCTGTCTGTTGACCTACGTACGACGTTCAAGATCGACGACATCCACGACAACATGGACGCCGCCGCTATGCTCTACGATGCGATTACGCAGCACTTTGAGGCTGGAGATGGCATTAATCCTGATTACCTACTGCAAGAGCTAGTGACGCGCCGGCTCAAGCCAAACGAGTCAGTATCGCAGTATGCTGACGACATTGCAAAGAAGGTGACACTTCTACATCAAGCTAATGGTGAGTTTGCTGAGTGGCAACATGCAAGCCTACTACTGTCGAACAGCGTGGAAGCGTTTAAAGATCTCGCCCGTGAACACGGCGATTGGCTTAACAACCATGATCGTAAGACACTTACACTTGCTGAAGCTTTACAACGACTACGCGCTGCTGAACACCAGCGTGACCAGCTGCGTGCACAGACCAGACAACCGGTCGCGCATTCAATGCAAGTTGCTCATGTCGAAACGGACCAAGGACAAGGTTAAGCCCGAGGACGCAAGCGCAACAAGCAACAGCGCAAGCGATCCAAGGGCGTTGCAGATAAGAAGCAGCGCACAAACTGCGCGAGCTGTCAAGGAGAAGGACATTGGTATGCCGAGTGTGCGGCTCTCACTGGCCAGCAACTGAAGCCAGAGCTCGCGAGAAAGCTGCAAGAGAGACAACCAAGGGCTCCCGTGTCGCTGGTGAACTCCGTACGTCGTGTGGATGCGGTAGCGTTGGAAGAAGATGGCCAAGGACTGTTTGCTGGCCTATCACTATGCGATGCGAATGCGATTGACCTTACGGATGGTGCTGCCCTATCGCCTACGGCTACGCAATCACCTGCATGGTCACTAACGTCTCCTGCGGAAAGTGAAGAAGGAGGAGAGCGTCGTGTTGTTGAAGGGGTGCGGGCAAGTACGCAACGCACTCAATCGTCGGTTGCGCAAGCAACGCAGCGACTGCAGCTGCAAGTTGGAGTTCCTGTTCAACACATACAAGTTGGAGGACAAGGACTACAACAACGACAATCAACCTCACTGCCTACACTGCAAACACCAGCTGTAGCTGTGCAAACTGCCATACAATCTGCGGTACAACCTGAAGTGCAACCTACTGGACAACCTGCTGTTCAACAGGGTGTACAAGCTACTGTACTGCAAAACATGCAACCTACTGTATCGAGTACTGCGCAGACTCAGTGGGAAGGCAATCAGTCTACAGCTGGATTGGTGCCTACGTGGGAATCAGACATCTACTACTTGGGGCAAGGACTGTCGAGTAACTCGAAAGGGCCTACACTTGAGCCATGGCGCAATCAAGCTGAACCACAAGGGGGTTCGGCTGTGCCGGGGGATAGCTGTCGAGGTCCTGATGTCGGGTTTAACAGACGCCAAGAACCAGGGATGCGCAATGATTACAGACCTAACTTGGAGAGTGCGTACGAGAGAGGACTCTGGAGTCAAGATGTTGGACACTTTGACCCTCCTATTCAAGGACGAGGACGAAGTCGTTCACCACCCCGATTCTTCAATCGAGAACGAACTCCACCAAGAGGAAGATGCCGTTCTCCGTCAATGCGAGGACGTGAACCAAGAGGGAATCCAGGGCGTTATCGATCTCCACCGCGTCAGCAGCAGTGGCGTAACGAGAGACCGAGTTGCTATGAGCCGCCACCCCAACGCGATGATCGACTGAGTCGCTATGGACCGTCGTCTCCGCAGCAGCAGTGGCGTGACAATCCTTCGAGAGGACGAGGACCTTCACCTCGACGTGACAATTTCCAAGGGCGGAACATGTCTCCACGTCGATTTAAAGACCGTCGTGAGAACAGACCACCCAACTCTCGTCAAGTCAACGCTGTGAACCAGAACCAAGGTATGCAATCAGCTCAGTCTGAGTTTGTGGAATGGATACTTGATTCAGGATCCCAGGCAAATGTCTGTGGTGACCTGTCATTGTTTACTACCATAAGGGAAGACCAAGCTAGTCGACTTGACTTTGCGAATGGCACAACTGAACACACTTCTGTTTGTGGGTCTGTGCTATTGCGTGTTGTTAACCAGGCAACTGGCCAGCTCGAGGACCGTCTCCTGGACGACGTGGTGTACACACCGAACGCGAAGGTGAACATCGTGAGTTTGGGCTACCTACAAATGAAGGGCAACTTCAAGTTGACATGCTCAGAGGACCAACAGACTGCTTGGATCTCCAAGCCAAGCACATCACTCAAGTTCATGATGCGTGACAGTATCTACCGACTACGTGCAGAAAGAGTAACTGGAGTAATGGTGATGGCGGCTCTAAAAGAGGACATGGACAGCAAGAAAGCCATGGAGCTGCTTCACCAACGATTTGGTCATATGAGCATGGAGACGGTGAAAGTGTTGGCAAACAAACTCGATGTTGGAGTTAAGATGAATGCAAAAGGTCTGACTTCCTACGAGTGCGTTGCTTATGCTGCCAGTAAGGCGAAAAGAATGTCTTATAAACGGATTCCATCGCGGAAGTCCGAACCTCTGGAGACTCTCATGATGGACATTTGCTCTGTGAACGAACAGTCTGTGGATGGAGCTACAATGTTTCTCTTTATCATAGATGAGTCTACAAGGTACAAGTGGCCGTTCCTACTCAAGAAGAAGAGTGAAGCAACGTTCCACATCAAGGTCCTGCTGAACAGGCTGCGAACTCGCTTTACTGAGAAGAAGGTGCGACGACTACACTCTGACCAAGGAGGTGAATTTGCAAGCAAGGAACTAAGTGACTACTGCGTCGACCAAGGGATTGAGCAGCAGCTTACGAACGCCTATTCTCCTCAAGAGAACGGCATTGTGGAGCGTGCTAATGGCGTGGTTCTACCAAGGATCAGAGCGATGCTGATGGCTACACACATGCCCAACTCCTTGCGGGGAGAAGCCTTCCTGCATGTGGTGACGACGTTGAACTGGTTGCCCACCAAGCCCTTAGGATTGGTGTCCCCGCACCAGAAACTGTACGAATCGGAGCCCATGCTGGATGATTTGCGTACTTGGGGCTGTCTGGCACACGTGCGTGTTCCCCCTGAGTCAAGACAAGCGAAAGAAAAGCTGGGAGCAAGGGCAAGACTGTGTTTATTACTGGGTTATAGCGAATCGACCCTAGGCTACAAGTTCATTGACCTGGTGACAGCTCAAGTGGTGACAGCTCGTAGTGGGAATGTGAAGTTCCATTAGGAGGTTTCACAACCGATGGCATCTACATGAAGCATCTATTAGAGAACACATTCTTTGATGGTGATCATACTCTACGCGAGATTGTACATGTGGCGCGCATCAAGACCAACATGGAGACGTACCTTCCAGGTTGGAGTGACGGCATCTCTAGTGCGGAGAAGCCACTTGAGGCGGTACCACTTGCTGACGAACCTGCAGAAACTGAGTTAAGTTCAAGTGGGAGTTTGTCAATCGTTGACGCACCTGTGAGCAAGGACAGTGCGGAGACTGCTGGTGTTGCAGCACCAGCCGTGTTGCAGGATCCTGCTGAAGAAACCGAGGAAGGTTTGGAAGTGAGGAAGCGCAAGAGACGCAGAACAAAGAAGAAACCTGCAATGGTGGAGAAGGCGACAAGTGGCTTCGAGATTCAATCTCCATCAAGAGAGCCCTGCCTAAAGCGACCAAGAAGGAAGCAGAAGGCGAACGTTCGATTGTCGGATTACGTGGTAGGCCTAGTGCAGGCTATGACTACGGATGTGCAGATTCCGACGACGTACAAACAAGCACGTGCAAGCAAGTACTGGCAGCAGTGGAGAGCTGCAATGTTGGTGGAACTTCAATCGTTGAAGGGTCACAAGAGCTGGAAACTTGTACCCCGCAAAGATGCCAAGAACGTGAAGGTGATAACGTGTAGGTGGGTCTTTGCTGTGAAGCGAGATGAGCGTGGACGAATCAAACGTTTCAAGGCGCGACTAGTGATCCATGGATTCAAACAACAACTTGGGATTAACTACTCTGAGACCTATGCACCTGTGATCCGGTTCGAAACCATACGTGCGGCTATCTACTACGCTGTACAAAGAGGTTGGGAGGTGTTGCAATTTGACGTGAAGACGGCTTTTCTGCATGGAGACTTGGACGAGACTATCTTCATGGAGCAGCCTCCTGGCTTCCAGGTGGATGGACCTGGGTCCATTTGCAGATTGTTGAAGAGCCTGTACGGACTGAAGCAAGCACCGAACGTTTGGAATCGCACGCTTCATGCGAAGCTTGTTGCGATGGGCTTTACTAGGACGGACTCTGACTACGGCCTATATACATTGAGGAAGGATGGTGAAGTCAAGTTGCTACTGACTGTTTACGTGGACGATCTACTGCTGATGGGTTCACGTAACCTGTGTGCCACAATCGCTGCCTCACTCCAAGAGACATTCGAGCTCACGACGATGGGCACAGTCAAATATCTCTTAGGCGTTGAGATCCTGATTGACCGGCCGCGCCGGCAAATAGTGTACTGCCAGAAGCAGTACGTACTGGAGGTGTTGAAGCGTTTTCATATGGAGAACTGTAATGGCTGTGCTACACCAGAAGCTACGACGCCCTCGAAGACAGACGTGCCTGCTTCGAAGGAATATCTTCCCTACAGAGAACTGGTGGGTGCTCTCCAGTACCTCGTTAGTGCATCGAGACCTGACATAGCTCATGCTACCCGACACCTGGGCAAGTATCTTGCGAGCTATGATCATATGCATTTCGCACAAGCCAAGAGGGTGCTGCGTTACCTGAAGGCTACATGTGACTACGGACTAGTGATGAATGTGAAGCTACAGACTGATGTGCAAGTTAGTGGCTACTCTGATGCTGATTATGCGAATGACCCTGTGGATCGACGGAGTGTCAGTGGCTACATCACTATGCTGGACGACAACGTCATCTCCTACGCATCTCGTAAGCAAGAGATCAACGCGCTCAGTACCTGTGAAGCTGAGTACGTAGCAATGGCAGAGGCGACCAAGGACTTGTTGTGGCTTGCTGGCCTATGCAAGGAGTTGAGCTGGAAGCATCCAGTACCTCAACTACTGGGAGACAATCAAGGAGCCATTGCCTTAGCTGCGAAGCCTGGCAAACATTCGAAATCGAAACATATCGATAGCAAGTACCACATGATCAGACGCCACGTGGAGTTGAAGCAACTTACAACCCAACACATCGGAACTGATGCTATGGTGGCCGATATAATGACAAAGGCACTTGCAGTGGTGAAGTTCACACACTTTCGCAAGGCTATGAAAGTCTTACCTATTGTGTCGAGCGACGACAACGTATCCGAGGACATGGCTACAACTACGACTACTGCTACTACGTTGACTACTGCTGTTGATGCGGAGGCTGTACCTGAGCGACATTGATGAAGACGAGGGCGATCGAGTGGGAGTGCTGTTACTGAGTGGACTGCTATTGGTTTTGAGCTGTGACTACGCTACTACTAGGACTATGGCGGCAACTAGGATGCGCGTGTGTGATCGCGTCGACTTCCAAGTGCGTCGCCGAGATCAAGTGGGAGTGTGAGCTATAAAACTTACCTGCGTGTCGAGCGCCAGTGCATTGCAGTCTGCCAGTGTCCGGTGCCCCCATCTATGAGCCACCGTCCACTGCCAGTGTCTGCAAAGACACATCCCAAGGACACTCATGCGCCTGGCAGTGCAGCTTGCGGCTGCACTACAACCGGCTACACTGAGTACACATGCGTGCAATGGCGAAGGACTATACCAAGGACTGTATGCACAAGGACATCGTTGGCTGTGCGCTGCCAAGATGGTGTACTCAAACGAGAGTGCATTTATCTAGAGTTTAGTATTGACTTATTTGCTATTTGTATACTAATCTACTTTTGCGGTACAGCGGTGTTCTGGTGGAGGCTGCTCCACACTTTGCGTTTTGACGCCTGCCGCTCACCAGAGAGCAGCAGAGAAGAGCAGCCTCGCCAGACACCGCAGTCCTGTCGCGGCCTTTTGCCCGGCACTTACGTGCTTACGTTACTTCCTGATTAGTTTCCTAAAGTTGACATTTAAGTGTATTTACATTTAAATGGCTCCTACTCTTAGAAGCGATCGACACATGGAGAACAATCCCCCCGTGACGAGCCCTACGTCACCACTCGGTCCGCGGAAGTTGCCGCCTTGCCGGACGTCTATCGCGACCGGAAGCGCTGTTGCGCGTCCGCGATTCGCGCGTCTGACGCCAAGATTATGCAGAAGATTGGCGTAAATGTTTTACTGAATTAGCGAATAAAATATCAGTGCACTGGATTTGCGTTTGTTTTTTGCTTTACGTTGTGCACTTACACTAAGTACACCGAGACGCTGACCTCCGGCATGCTTCCATGCCTAAGAGAACTGGGGTCAAAGTTGGGCAATTTGACCCCCATTTTCCAACATGATAACATGCCTCGAGGTTCACCAAGGGCTTCCTAGCCACCCATAACATCGAACCAATGGCGTGGCCTGCCAAAAGCCCCGATCTGAACATCATAGAGAACGTGTGGGGGCTTCTAGCTCGCCGGGTGTACGCCAACGGACGCCAATTTGACAAGCCTGCCGACTTGATCAGACAGATCAAGTTAGAGTGGTCTCGCATTGATCCTGAGTATTTTAAAAAGCTAGTGCGAAGCGTCCCAAAGCGGCTGGAAGCGACGCGGCTGTTAAAAGGAGCTAAGACGGGTTACTAGAGCCGTTTGCCTGTAGAGCCTGCAAGTGCGGCTATAATTCTGACCCGACCTCAAACCAGATTTTGCCTCCTGGCTCCAAGCCGACTTAGTCGTTTTCAACCTCGCTTGCTGCACAAGTCTTCTATCCCTTTAAGACGGCCTCCGAGCCCTTCGATTGCAGGCAGGTCTCAGTTTCTGGCGCAAGAGCTCTATTTTTCAGGTGCGGCTATAATTACGACGCGCACTGTATGCCCTGGCACTGTTGATATGGTCCGCCCTGTCGAATTGGAGGTGCACGACTGTACTTTAGTCGTATAGCTGTCTTTAAAAAAACATGTTTTAAACTCGTAAACTATTATTTTTTGAAAAATGAGGAATTTAAAAATTAAAGTTGTCTTTTAAGAATACATGTTTTTAATCTTATAACATTATTGTTAATAGAAAAATGATGGAGCTTCACGTCGGTCTCACGTCAAAAACTCGAGGGTAATTATTTTTGTGGATTGTACAAATTCAAGGTCTCACATTTCTCGATCCGAATCAATGTTTAGCAAGCGTGTATCCTCCTCGATTCTGGTGCTGCGGACCCGCGCCAAGAGCACGGCGAAGCCCCGATCGTCGCCTGTGTTGAGCACCATGCTGCCACCCGGCACCTTCAAGGGAAAAGTGGCACTGGTAACAGGCGGCGGCACCGGGTTGGGCAAGGGCATCGCCACCAAACTGTCAGATCTGGGCGCGACCGTCGCCATAATGAGCCGCAAGAAGGGCGTCGTGGATGTGGCGGCGAAAGAAATCCAGGAAATTACGGGAAACGCGGTGATTCCGCTCACGGGAGACGTACGCGAGCCCGAGCAGGTAAAGAAAGCGCTGGACGAGCTAGACGAGCAGGCGGGAATACCCACGATCGTGGTCAACAATGCGGCCGGGAACTTTATTTCGCCCTTCGAACGGCTTAACGCCAAAGGTTTCGGCACCATCGTGGATATTGTTCTCAAGGGCACGGCCAACGTGACGCTGGACGCAGGCAAACGCATGATCCAGCACGAGCAAGGCGGCGTATTCCTCAACATTACGACGACGTACGCCGAGACGGGCTCCGGCTACGTCGTTCCCTCCGCTGCAGCGAAGGCTGGCGTCAGCGTACGTGAACCGCGTGGGTGTTTCGTGTATTGCAATGCTTTAATAAGGATCTATTCGCGTGTTTGTGTTTCAGGCAATGATCAAGTCATTGGCGGTGGAGTGGGGGCAAGTATGGAATCCGTTTTGTGGGTATCGCCCCGGGTCCGATCAAAACCAAGGGAGCGTTCGACCGACTGGACCCGTCGGGCGCCTTTGAGGAAGTAATGATCCAAAACAACCCTCTGAAGCGCTTTGGTGAGGTGGACGAACTCGCAAACTTGGCGTCCTACATGACGAGCGACTACGCTAGCTGGCTCAATGGCGAGATCATCCGCTTCGATGGAGGTGAGACGGTCTCGAACGCCGGCGAGTTCAATATGTTTGGCACAGTCAGCAAGGAGAAATGGGATGACCTCGAAGCCGCCATCCGCGATTCCAACGCCAAAGGCAAGAAGTAACGTTAAACTTGCCCCCAGTGAAATTGTCATTACGACGTCAATTTGCCTTCTGTGGCATCCAGAACACCTTTCTAATCATAGCATCTGCACCTTTAAAAAAACGATCTCATGGTTCACGTATATAAATTGAAAAATTGCGGCAGTGTTGACTATACAGCTCGGTTTTGGCAGGGGGCCACGACAGATACGAACTACTCTCGAAGCATGACGTGTAGTGAGTGGAAAGCGACCAGTGATCACTCGCGTGCGTTACTAGGACGCGCGGTTAACCGCTTACGATGCCGCGGTTGCGAGGTGATACTTGGCACGTAGCTGCTCGCGCTTCTCGGCCCGGCGGCGCAAACGATCCTCCTGGAACATGGCGCGACGCTCCTCCATCTTTTGCAAGTTCTCCGACATCTGGCGGATCTCGTCGTTCTCTCTCTCAATCTGTTTCGCACGTTTCTCTCGTTCTGCTGCCAGCATTGCGCCACGCACATGACGAGCTCCCGCAATTGCCTCCATCCACTGCTGTCTCTTGAGTTCCGTTGTGGCGTCAAATCTGTGCTCCTGTGGACCCACAGCGATGACGATCCCCACGTCAGAGTTGTCCTGCCCCACATCCACCTCGCGGACGTCCGTGATCTCGTCAAGTGGAATGGCCTTGATGTCGCCTTCACACGTTCTCGTTTCGGGATCAAATTTCTGGTATTGGAAAATGTTCTTGGCACGTACGAACTTGAGACCAACGTGTCTCTTCCGCAGCAGGCCATACTTACTAAAGACATCTCCACCCTCCAGCAGCGGCAAGAGCTTCTCGTAGAAGACGTTCTCGGTCTTGGCGGTGTTGGCGCAGTTGTTACAAAGACGCACGGGTTCCACGAAGCCAAACTTGACCACACGGTCGAAACTGGATGTGCAGTGACCGCAGTAGACGAGTCCGCAGCCGCGACAGTGGTGTTTGCGCTTGAGCAGATCGAATTCGACGCCGCAGGACACACATGCCTCAACCAAGTCGTCTTTGATCCATCGAGGTGGGTCCTGGTAGTTGGGTAGGATGGCGGTGGACGGGTCCTCTTCGTCAGCGATCGGACGGCGCTTTGGCTTTTCCTGAATCACGTATCTGTATTCGTCAGTTGGCTCCGGTGTGTACCCAGGCTGGAAGCAGCATGAGATCAGCGCGCACAAGCCTGCTTTAGCCTTCTGTGGAAACGCGGCCACCATTGTTCTGCGCAGCGAGAAGGAAAGTAAGTGCGGCAGAGGCTCCACTGCTGGCGTTCTTGAAACCCTATGTGAAAAGATCGAATCGTCATTTAAATCATATCGACCAATCGCATGTGTTTATCGGCAAAATGTTTAGCCAATACATTTACTGAAAGTATCTGGTAAGATTTGAGAGGATACGCAAATTTCATTAGTAGAAGGCCAAAAAGTCGGTGCAAGTATGTAAGTCGCTTTTGCCAGTTCACCACTGAGACTTTTAATGGCATGCCTGGGTGTTTAGCTAAATTATTCCTTGCAGCCACCAGTGATGACCCAGCATCGAGTACTCTCGAAGATGCCCAGCAAGTTGGTCAAAATCGCCCACACGAGCGCAAAAGACAGATATAATATAGTAAAGACACCCATACGTCGACTGCTTCCACCTGCTCTCTTGAGAGCTTGGGCCTCAGCTTTCTGCCGAGGCAGCAACGGAAGGAAGAGCAGCGCCAGTAGCTTCATCACGTACGAGATCAGGATAGTAATGGTCACGTCGCGTCGTACCTCGTTCGTGTCGTTCAGGATGTCTTCGTTGTACACTTTGAAAGCCGCGTTCACATTCTTCGTCAGCGTGAGAGCAAAAGGCCCACCCAGGTTGCTCACAGTGGTCAGAAGACCATAGATCGCTCCTTCATTGCCATGTCCTGCTAGCTCCACGACCACATACGTCGAAATGATGAACCCCACCGCTCCCGGCACAGCCTCTACAATTGGCACACCCAGCCAGAACCACTGCTTTCGTACAACGTCCCATGTGACTAGCATTGTGCACATGGAATCCAGTGTAAGCACGCTCAACATAGTGACCACTTGCATCGTCCTCCAGTTCCATTGCAGCCCATATTTCCCAGTCAACGTGAGCGTGACCACAGTCACAAAGCTACCAAAAATGCTGCTGAGGCTCAGGTTGAAGCTCGTTGCATGCACCCAGTACGAAGTCATCGGATCCTGCGCCACGTACGTGAACCCGCTAAACACTCCAGACAGGAAACTGTAGGCGATCACCTGATACACAGCACGACTCTGAATTGCGCCCCACAACTCGCCTATGTACTTTCTGAACATCGGTCGCTCTTTCACCACTTCTTCACGCACAAACATCCACGTCGTCGGGATCACAGGCAGACAAAACACTGCCAACAACAACATTGTATCCGGGAAAGAAATGCCAAAGTCAAAACTGCCGCCATAATCCGGCGAGCTGAGTCCAAACCCCGTGATAGCTTGGGCCACCACATTAAACAGCGTCCGCACGGTATAAATCGCGGTCTGGGTGCGTCCGCGGGTATCTTCCGGTTCACGTTGAGCGTACTCGACCACCACAGCATCAGCAGCCACGTCTGCGAACAGATATCCCAGTGTGGCGAACATCATGAGCACAATGTACTTGGCTCCACTGCTGGGCGCGCTCTTATTAAGAGACTGCACCATCTCCAGCGAGTAATCGGTCGGTTTAATGTTCCGCATCTCTGGGTCTGGAAAGTAGGGTTTTTCCAGTGGAGACGCGGCCATTGCCAGCAGACACAGAGCCGTCACGGACCATCCTAGCACCATGTACGGTCGCCGTCTGTACCCGAAGAGGGGGACGCAATCAGACAGCACGCCAATGAAGACTTTGAAGCTCCAGGGGATTGAAATCAGAGCCCGCGCCGACGTTGTGGCTGTTCCTTCCATGTTGAGATAATAGGTCAGGAAGGGAGTGATAGTGCTGGGCAAGACGCCGTAGACCAATCCTACAGCCGCGTACTGAGCAATGAGACCAGCACTCTCCATTGACATCAGTCGAGGAGCTGACCCCTGGCGTAGCGCGCCATTAGCACCAGGACCCGAGTCATCATCCGGTAGCTTCTTGAGCCTCTTGTTCGACTTCTGCTTCTCGGGCGTCTGGAGTGAGGATGGTGGTGAATGATCGTCACCTGCCGCTCCCTCGCGCAGCGAAGAGTGCTCGTCTATCTGCTCCAGCTCTGTCTCCTCGTCCTCTGTAGCCGCCACCGACGACGCGCGCTCCTCCTCCTGCGGCATGACTGAAACTGGGAAACTTGCAGGCTGAGTCCGAAAAACCCATATGGTGTTTTTTGGACAAGGCTGTCAGGTTTTTTACGCTGTCCGAATTGAAAAATGATTGATTTCTCGTCTGCCAATTTTTTTTCTTAAAAAAAAGGGCAGTTACATGGAAACACACATGCTATTACTCGTCCATGAATAAAATAAAATACATTACCGCTCTCCTATTTCCGAAATTAAAGAATCAAAAGCATTTCATTTTATTTTGTGCCGCCTCCAAATAAGATGCCCCAGGACGCGGTTACCGCTAATGCAACCGGCGCTCGCGGACGCGCCGGCGAACGACGGCTCCTGCCCCGATGCCAAGGCCCGGGCCTTTCCAATACGCAGTGGGGAGGGCAAGTGGTGCCAACTGAACCCCAGGTCGGAAATAGCCCTTTGGAAGGTGGAGAGAGCAAAACCGTCGAGAATCGCAACAGTGACGGCGAAATGGATGAATCGGAAGGTCAGACGAGCGGTGGAGAGGCGGAGGAATATGTAGAGGCTGGGCGTCCCTCGGAAAACCGATGGAGCGGACGATGATGACGCTGCAATTACGTCTATGAACCCGCCGGTGAAGTATCACGGCAGTTGGGAAGATTGGCAAGAATATTTTTAGGGCTACTGCCAACAACGCTGCAAGTAATACCAGTCAAGGAGCCCATGTCCAGAGCAGAACGCAACAAGAGGCTCAAGAAGACGAAGAAGGGTGAAGACGAGTCCCAGTTGGTGCCCGACGGCTACGACCCGTACCAGCGGACGTATATTTGCACTCATGGATGGAAGAAAAGGAAGCCCCGCAGCGTAGGAAGTCGTCCCAGACAGCATATCCGTCTTACTAATTGCCCGTTTCGCTTCGTGGTACAGTGGAATCTTGCTCGTGGAGAATTACAGGTCAAGAATGATTTTTTGGGGCACAATCATTAAGTTTTTCCTGCAGCCTTCGCTACGTATCCTGCTTCTCGCGTGGTTATGGATCCGCTCGTTGGTGCTCGGGTCGAGGGAATGCTGGCTGTTGGCGCAAAAAGATCCAGGATTTATGATTACTTGTTGGAGCATGACGAGAATGTCATCCAGAGCGACGCGGGCAATCTGGTGCGCCGCCATGCTTCGTCTGTTTCAAGCACAGACGATAATGACGCAACAGCACGGGAAATTGCGGTTTTCGTGGCAGCTAGCCCAGAAAACGTGTCGTATGTTGCGGAGACGACCTGTGGTGAAACGGGGGTTATTTAGTTAGCTTCGGCACATATGCGTCGTATGTACAGCCGCTTCAGCGAGATTCTGCTAATCGATTGCAGCCACAAGACGAATCGGTTCGTCCTTTTTAAACATCCAGGATTACAAGGGTTCTAACCAGGATTATCCATGATTTTTTTTAGATACAACTACCAGCTCCTCAGATTCATGGCAATGAACGAATTCGGCGAGGATGCAGTCGTTTATCATTCGCTGATAGAGGCAAACGGAGATTGGCACATGGAGAGGGCGATTGATCACTTCAAGCGGTCTCATCCCACACGAATCCAGTGTCCGCGGGTCATTGTCTTGGATAAGGACCTGAATGAGATTTGCGTGTTGGAATCAAATCTTCCAGACGCCAGAATTCTCATTTGTCACTTCCACGTGATCAAGTATCTCAAGGAAATGAGGTCGAAGCCAGAATTCGGGAAAGTTTCAGCTGAATATGCAAGTCAGATCAACGGAGCCATTCACAAGATGGTATACGCTGTCTGCAAAGATTTTTACGAGAGTGCGCATGCATCTCTCAAAGGAATCTGTGAGCGTTTGGGTCCTACTGGATTTTACGAATATTTCCAGAAGAACTGGGATACGTGCCAAGATCGTTGGGTTTACTATTTACGCGCAAAGCTGCCGCGCTTTAAGAATCATACCAATAATCGTTTGGAGAGTTTCTTTGGAAAGTTGAAAGAAGGCCTGGGTGGATCTTCGAGCATGGCGATGTGCGTGAAAGCGTTGTATGCCCAGGATCGCCGAGTGAGTAATGAATACCAGTATCGGCTGTTTCGGATTGGACGTTTTTGTGAAAAATGCTTATGATGAAGAGATGGCGACACTTTTACGGTTCACTACGCATTATTTTGCCCAACAGATCGAAACGCAATACGCGGCGGCTCTGGCTAAAGTGGATACGTACTACTATACAAAGGACTCGATTGGAGGTGGCACTGTGGTTGTGAATGGAAGTTTTTTCGAGCACAGGGTGAATTTGAAGGATTGGCGATGCGTCTGAATTTTCAAGTACTATGAAGCTGCCATGTCGTCACGCCATTGCGTACAGAAGACATATCAAGGCACCGGGCTCAAGTATTCCTTGGGGGGGGGGATTGACAAGAGGTGAGTATGCATTATACAGGAATATACAGGATTTTCTCCAGGGTTTATTTGCTCTCTAACACCTGTGTACCTGTTTTGTAGATGGACCACCACTTCACAATCTCTAAAGAAGGTGAAGCAATTCTCGTACGAAAGACTTACGAATGGAGATCATGGATCTGGGGTCAAAAAGCTGAGGACACAATCAGAACGCTACAGGGAGGCTGTAAGAGCCACACACCTTATCGCCAACGAAATGGCGGATATCGAATATGACTATGCGCTTGCGGTTTATCCTGGATTAATGGTGTAATGTTCGCCAGAAAAAAATGGATTCTGTTAATGCTCCGGCGGGGGGTGCATATGGGGATGGCGAAGAACAATTGGATGGTGAGAAGAGCTGTACTTCTGACAAAGTCAAGGTCGAATTTGGCATAAGTTCAAGCGAAGAAGGTAGGGAGACCTCAAAAACAGAAGAAAGCTACTAGCGCTAGCGAAAAGAAGGACCGAAAATGGTACGAAGCTGCTAAGGTGGGTAGAAAGACTGCCGGAAAGGTAACTTTGACTGCTTTGCTAGACGCTCTTGAACACCAGAAGCCTGGATTGATCGAAACGCAGAGACGTTTATCAGGCGTCCTCGTCAGACACACTGAAGCAGATAAGAAAAAGCCGAAGTTTAAGACACAGAAGAATCCTGTTTTAATCCAGGATCGGTTCTACATTCACCCCAATTACCTGCTGGACGCGTGTGTGAAGGCCCTCCCTGTGTCAAACACTGTCGAGACGGCCATATCGATTGTGGATTCGCAGTCCAGCCAAGCTTCCAGTACGCAGAGATCGACAAACCAAGGAATTGTGGAGGTTGTGGCCATCAAGGATGTTGGTAATTTTACGCGCAGGCAAATTGAGATATTCAAGCGCATCCACACTTTGAAGACCGCTGTGCAGAACGGCATCGGAATGCACATGTGGCTTGTGGCGGAGGCAATTGCTGCACTCCCTGCCGAACAGCATGACATTGTTAAGCAGGTGGCAGACAAAGTAATGGAGACATTTTCCTATGAGCGGATCACAGGGCTTCCGAACCTCCCAGACTACGACTACGCAATGCTCTACAGCGCGAGCCCGCCCACATGGCTCACCGACGCTGCTACCGAATTACCTTAGTTATGCATTACACCCAATATGCAGTGCAGAGACCAGAAATTGCGTGTCCCGGCTATCGGTATCTTCGAACAAACAGTCTATTTAAATCGGACAAATTCACGAAACAGATCATCAAAGTCGTCGTCTAGCGTAAACTGCTCTACACTAGTGTCGATCAAATCGGAATGTACCATAGCTTGAAATATCTCTTCACCCGCTTGTAAGGCCTCTAAACGTCTTGATGCGTCGAAGACATCTTCATCATGCTGCACTAGTCCACAGTGGCGAAATCCGGCGCGTATTGTCGAGGCGGTCACATCTCCCCATGCCTCTCGAACCCACTCACATAGTAGAGCTCGATCTGGAGGTTTCAGCTTGAACGGTACGCTAGCAACACGGGTGGCTAGCTGCTTTTTAAGGTTGAGAATCCAAGCGTATCGTAGCCTTTGCTTAACAGGACCGTTCCACGTGGCGTCGGCCGGCTGGCAAACTGAGGTAGCATTTGGGGGTACTTTCATCAACGTGACGTTGACTGCCTTTGCATACTCGATGACCTCTGTGGTCCAGTGACCTGAGAAGTCATCGAGTAAAAGCAACACAGGTTGGTCGTGATTCGGCCGCAAGCCAAAGTGGTAGCGAAGCCACGCTACGGTTAGCTTTCCTCCCCACCAACCTAAAATGTAATGAAAATATTCAGTTAATAAGCCATTCTCATTGCAAAAAAAACAAAAGTGTTACCTTTTCCGTTTCCGTAGATCTGCATTCCGGTCTCGACTTGGGCTTTAGAGATCGATTTCCAAATATAAGCGCCAAATCCGTTACGGTACTTATTGTTGTCACTCTGGGCTTCTGGGTTCTTAGCAGGACGAACTTTGAAAATGACGTATGGATCATACTTGTTTTCCTCGGAGTCACCCAAGAACATGACGGTAGCTCTCTCTTTAGTCTTTCCACCACATTTCACCCACACCGTTTTAATTCCCTTTTTGGCTAAAGTCCTCCTAGGTAAGTACTCAAAATTGACAGCTTTACAAGTGATAGGGCAACGTAAGTCCAAATCAAATGACAAACGAGAATATTTTTTTTAAATGTACCTGTTTGGTCCGCGTTGTAGATTTTGGTGACTCCAAGGCTTTGTGCCTTCTCATGTACTTCTTCAGCAAATGATTTTGCAATCTGGTCGAGCTCGGAAGGGCAAATTTGACCCTGGCGGGTCTTATCTCGAAGGGCTAAGCGATGGCGACCTTTAAACACGCTCTACCAACTCCAGGATGCCGTGAACGCGTAGATACCGGGTTCGTTAGCTTCTGCGAGTGCCTGCAACCTTAGCATCATTGGTGTGACTGGCACCCCATCGTCCTGTAGGTCCCCGACCCAGCGAACAAGTTTCAACTCTACTGAGTAAGGTAGAGCGGTAGCTACACCACTACAACGTGCCTTCATCTTCTTGGCTTCTTTAGGGACTGTACACGCAGCGACGATCTTGTGAAGAGATC